TCAATTTTTTTTTCAGGGCTGCTTCTGCTATAGTTATATTAGAATTTTTTGCTGAGATTCCCCACAAAGTACTTATTTGCATACAAAGATCATGTGAATTTTATTGATGATCCTGGAATTCAAAAGCAGTGTCTAATTTGCTGAGTAAATTTATTAACATACACTTCTTTCAAGGTCAGTCTGGACATGGTAGAGTATGAGTTCAATTACATGTTTGAAAAATAAATGTTCTAACATACCAGCCAACCAGCCCAGGATAAGTAGTGATAATAGTTGTAGATTAAAATGAATTAGAAGTACCCAGATCTTTATTATCCATATGCTACAGTATTCAAATGTTGCATAATTTCCTACACTGAAACATTTGGATCAGCTGACAACCCATACTTTTTGAACAATGGGCTGGAAATAAATCAATCCACTTACTATTGATACAGGTATAAAGGATTTCATAATTTTCACCTAATATATTAAAATAATCCTTATGTAATACTGCTAATTCGAGATGCATTACCATCCATTCCAATAGATAATCCCCAATCCTGCTTTACTTACCACTGATTTGCCTCCATAAATGCATGTGTTAGCAGAAGCACTTCTACTGTTTCTGCTTATATTCAAAAGTGTATGGAAGATATCAGTGTACTTAGGACTATTGTCATGAGAGCAAATGAGAAACCTTGAATGTCTCAAGAGGTCTGTGCAATGTTGAAGGTGAGAAAGGTCTTCAAATCAGGTGATGTGGCAGCACTTAGAATAGCAAGAGCTGATTTGAAATGTGCTATAAAAACAGCAAAGCAGACCTAAATTTCTTTCAAGATCTGATGGACCCAAGACATATATGGCAAGGTATTCGGGTCATTACTGACTATTAAGGCAGCTTCCCTGACATTTAAGGGTAATACGGATTGTCTAAACAAGCTAAATACATTTTTGGGGATGGCTTGAGGCCACAAACAACATTCCAGCAAGGAAGATTGTTCCCCTTCCTGATGAGCAGGGGCTTTAGTTTGATACAACAGCTGTTTGGAAGGTCCTGCAGAAAATCAATACTTGGAAAGCTGCTGGTTTTGATAAATTCCCTGAGCAGGTACCTGAGGATTGTGTTGACTAACTGGCCACTGTTCTCACAGTCATCTTCAATTTCTTGTTGCATCAGGCTGCGGTTCCATCATGTTTTAAGACTGCAATCATACCAGTGCCCCCAAAACCTATCATCACATGCCTTAATAATTACTGTCTAGTTGCATGCACTTCCATGATGATGAAGTGTTTTGAGAGACTGGTAAAGGACTATATGATTTCATGCCTTCCCCCTACATTTGACACATTACAGTTTGCCTATCAGAAAAACAGCTCTGTAGATAATGTACTTTCCTTTGTCCTTCATTTTAGTTTAGTACATCTAGAGGAAAAGAATATTCATGTGCGAGTACTGTTTGTTGATTTTATGTAATTGGATACTGGATTTCCTTATTGATAGGTCCCAGTTTGTGTGAGTTGGAAGAAAAGTTTCCAACTCTATCTCCTTGAATATGGGTTCCCCACAGGGCTGTCTTGTGTCAGTTACTATTCACCTTGATGACCCATGACTGCTGTGCCAAATCTGCTATGAATCCTATTAATAAAACAAAGGATATTATTGTAGATTTTAGAAAGAGCTGTCAAGGATACAGCTGTAGATGTGATCAGCAATATTAAGTATCTGGGGGTACAGATAAGTAACAATCTAAACTGGTCTCTCCACACATCATCCTTAGTGAAGCATGCAAACCAGCATCTTCATTTCCTGTGTCGGATGAAGAGAGCACATTTTTCTCCTTCTGCCCTGGCCACAATTGAGAGCATTTTAACACACTGCATCACTGTTTGATTTGGTGGCAGCAGTGCCTCAGATAGAAAGTCCATTCAGAGCATAGAAAGGATAACCGAGAAGATTTTAGGAAGCTCCCTTCCTGTTAATCATGATATAGCTTATAGCGCTATGTACATAGAGCTCAAAGCATCATTAGAGAGCCCGCCCACCCATCCACACACTATATGGTGTCAGATCTGTGTATCTGTCATTTCTTCAGTGGAAGAAGTGGGGGGGGGGGAAGCTGATAAAGAAATCCTTTCTTGATGTAACCTGAATATACTTAATCTTATATCAAATTTGTATAACCCACACATGATACAATGGAGGGAGAAAAGCCAGATGGCCAGAGCTATCACCTCTGAGAGGCACAACTAGGAGATGAGAAGATCATAAAAATTCCACAGTGAGATGTGTCTTGGAAATCTCTTGAATAGTTTGTTCTAAAAAGGGGGTGGTGGTGGTGGTGGTGGGAAATTAGGTATGCCCTGGGAAACTGTGAAAAAGATACTTCCTTACAAAAGGGGTGGGGAGGAATTAACATACTGGCTTTTGTTTCACTAAATACACATCGAGATAAGGGGAGGGGTTCTAAACTCCCTTATGTATCCCTGTATGCCTGAGAGACCTCAGACGCTGCTTTGAACTCCTACAGGAATTGTCTCATCTCAATAAAGGATTCTTTTGTGATACGTTTTGATACATTTTCAGAAGTTCATTCTAGTTGAGTGAATGGGAAAAGTTCTATAGCCTGACATACGGTCTGTTTCTGTTGCTCCTGTCTGGGAGGAGATTTTGAAGTATTTCTAGCAGGACTACCAGATTATGTAACAGCTTTGTTCCTTATGCCATCCATCTGGCAAATTCATTTTTCTCACCATGTACATGTATACATCTGAACTATACTGTGTTGTTTCTCTGTGTTATATAATATATGTGAGTATATACATAATTTTGTATTTATTTATTTAGTCATGTTTATGTTGTAGAATAGATGGTGACCCTTTGAGATCTGTATGCAACAAAATTTCATTTTATGTATGCCAATTAGTGTACACTCAAAGTGACAAAAAAGTTATTATTCTATTCTATTCTGTTCTGTTCCATTCTGTTCAATTCCACTCCATTCTATTCTGAGGTGGGGGATGCAACCATTAATTACCTGTATCCGCAGTTACCCTCTGCAGATTACTAATCATATTCAATAGGTCATAAGTGTTGGATTTGTCTGAAGTTAGTCTGAGATTAAAATTAAAGGCATCTTCTTGAAGTAGAGAGGGATTGCAATAAATACACAGTTTGATCACATTCCAAGAAGATAGCCTGCTGTTTCACAACAATGTAATTGAATTGATATTATCTCAGAAATAAAGTCAGCCGCTAGGAGTAAAAATATTTGGGACTGTTCTATTTTACCACTAGAAGTGTATGTTGTGGCATTAATTTTAAATAATTTCAGCTTATTCAATTGTGAGGAGCAATAATTATTTAAAACATCTTCCTTGGACAGCTTTAATGGCTTTTATTGTTTATAAGACTTTTAACCTCATTACAATGCAGATTCTATGTCTCTAAGCCTCCATCAGGTAGAGTAAGAGAATCAGTTAAACTCCAAAATATGTCCTAATATTACAGGAATGAGCCTGAATGAGTTACTATATTGTATGTTGCATTTCCTTTTCTATACGACTTTACTTTGGAAAGCAAAATATTAGCAGCACTATTGGACAGTAAGACTATCAGTTCTCGGCTGCACAATCTGAATGGCCTTTAAGTGGCACCAACGATAAACTTTGAGTGTATTGGACTCCTAAAGAAAAGGGAAAATTGCAGTCCTATCTTCAAGGTAGGTATATTCCTAAGCATTGGTCTGTCGTAATATTAAAATGCAACAGGTAGAAAAGAAATTCAGTGACAAGAAATAAAGAGATACCAACACATGTCAGTTATAAGATGTTCGTTTTTAGAATTCAAGCTTACATAATAATCTATGCTCACTATAGTCATAATTGCATATTAATATCTGCATACAAAAGCTATGTAAAAATTATATTCTTTCCCCAAATATACAAATTTTTCTTCAGGTAGTTTAAACATTTTTATGATCACAGATTTAATATAGTTTTTAGGCTGAAAAAATATTACCCATCTAGCATATATTTAACACTGTTTGAAGGAGGGGCGGGGGGAGAAAACAAACAAAACACTTAAATTTTATCCCAGAATCTTTAGCCTTTCTAATAAATCTGTATACTTCCAAACTTAGTCTGAAGACATCCAAACCATAACAAGCCTAATCCAAAGCTCAGCAGCATCCATCTTAATAAAATGAAAAGAAATAAAACATTATTTGTGGAATTCTAAAATAATTGACATAAGGAAAAATAATTTAAAGAATTACATGGTTTTTTTTTAAATCCATGGTATGATCTTATTTTTCACTTTCATAATTTCAGTTGCAAAATAAAAATGTATTTTTAATGTTTTACATTGTGCTCAATAATTTACATCAATTCCATCTACATGGATGTAGAGTTACATTTGATTGTCTTGTGCATAAATAACAATTAGCTTTATAAAGTTAAACTGTGCAAAACAGATAGTCACACATAGCTTTTTACCTGCACAAAACTGCTTCTGAAGGCAATATAGTTGAAGAAAGATTAATACACAGAAGCAAGGCAGACTCTGCATTTGATAGCACTTATACAACACAGTAAAAACTTAGTGAAAGGCCAAATCTTTTTAAAATTATAGTAATCTCTATTTATGTTTATGTCTTTTAAAAAGAAAGCCTATTTTATTTTAAATTAGTTTTCTTTGTTTTTTGACGTAAATAAATCCCTCCTACTTAAGATATCATGTCTCTATAAAATTTTATATAAGGGTCATATAAACCTAATATAACAAGGAAATTTCTGATAAATTAAATATTAGCAGAAATTACAAGAGAACATAGCTAAATGCCTCCTGTATGTCTTGCTATTTCAAAGCTGCAAAAAGGCAAGCAAAGAAATATTTCTTAATAGATCATGAATGAGTACACAACTTTATCAACGTTTTTCTTAACTATCAAAATGAGGCAGAAACTTGTTCTGGCACCAATGGCTGATAGTGACTTGCCTAATTTATTCATCTTTTTAAAAAATCATATGGACTGTATTTGTTTTCTAATAAAGCAAGAACGAGTCTCACAGATTTTGATTCTAATTTCCAGCAGAGGATAGAGGTTATAAAAACCTAATCCTTCAAAAAATATTGGCTCCATCTGAAAAGCCTTAAGATTTAAAAACCCTAAGAATGATGTTACTGACAATTTATGTGGTATATCAATATGATATCTACATTTTTAAGATTACATAGCACAAAATATATCCCTAACAACAATGTGGTCATCCTGTGATCTATAGAGCTGCATGGTCAGGTTTCCTTCCATCAATCAACCATTTTCCTTTTGACTTTGTATTGCCTTTTTAATATCACTTCAGTACATTAACACAAAGATAAATCACAAGTGTTCAGCGTCTGATTCTGACACCTATATTTTGGCACAGTGCTGTTGTTTTTAAAATGGCTAAGTCATGTAGAGTCCATCACTATTCTCTCTCTCAATTTAAAAACACTATGGAACTCAATTGCAACATCAAATCCACTGCAGCTTAAATATCTATCATTTAGAGCAGGACACATTAAGCTAACAATTATTTTTAAAAAGAGAAAACATATTTTGTAGAATGCTCCACTTGATACTATACCTACAGCAGAAAACAAACCGGAACAGCATGGGACATCTTAAACAATTAAAGCTGCATAGTCAAAAATTCAGACTTTTATAGTCAAATCACCTCTCAACAGAGAATGGGTGTAGAATTTACCACTCCCAATAATCATTTGAAGCTATAGCTGAGGATGCTGCCAGATATATCTTAAAATCTTATACCAGTGCTTGCAGGATTGGCACCACTTTATTTGTCAAAAAGAAACCTGAGGTATCAGATTCTAATAATTTAAAATAGTATGTTTCTCTGGTGTGACTAAAAATAGAAACCATTATAACATGAACCCAGTTACACAGGACAAAAGAAGAGCAACTGGAATCTTGGGGTTGGGATAGCCATTGATGTTGAGAGATTAAGCTTCTACAAATCAAAATGCAGCTTGTGAGTTTTGATGAATGATCACTGAGATTGTCATGCCAATGGATTGTTACAGTCTGAATAGCACAAAGCACATTGAAAACCAAATGAGCCAATTTCATGTATTTTTGTTTAAATGTGGGCTAAGCTTTAGAATACTACATCATAAAGAGCTAATGCAAATCAAAACATATCATTCATTAGATTGTGATCTTAGCTGGTTATATGTTTTATACATAGCATATTACAGTTTTCTAGACTGGAACTGTTCCAAAGTAATAGGGAGATTCCTTACTGATCAAGATAAATGGTTGGGAGTAGATATTCTCTTCTTATAGTAATACATTATTGAAAAGCTTTGAAGTATCAGGTTGGATCCAAGATTCTTTCCTTATCCCCTTCAACAAAGGAAAACATTGGAGTTCTTCTGAAAAATAACCCTAGATTCCATATTGATTACTTTACTTTGAAGAAAATCTCAACATTTCCCCAGGGGACTTAAGGTCAAAGGTTAAGTGAGGTACTCTAGTCATTATTGGATGCCCCTTTTCTTTTAGTCATGAACTTTGACATGTATACATGGAAGTAAACATTAATATAAATATTTATATTTGGGACAGGGAAGATCAATAGCAAGACTTAGATTTTAGAAATACTATGTTTGCAGCTAAAATATAATCTTATCTATAAAGTTAATAACAGATATGCACAGCATACTTTTTCTATAGCACAGTAAAAAAGAGATGGAGATTTAAAAATAAAAATGGCATAGGAAAATGAGAAAATGATAAATCCTCTCTCTAGGGCCTCTCTATACTTCTGCAACTTGGTGATATTCTGGCATGTTGACTAGTAACTTTGAGAATTGAACTCACAATGCGTCTAAAAGGAACTAGGTTGCAACAAAAACTTCTGTGAAGGCGGTTATGTGATAAAAGCAGTATTCCACCATAAGCTCCACCTCTTATGTTCACATACTATGACAAAGCACACGCGTGAAAAGAACTAAAATTTGCAATGCAATAGTACAATGCTATCATTATTTTTATGAAAACATCCAGTCTTCTGGACACCTCCAAATTCTGAGAAGGCAGAATTGAACATATAATATAGTACATTTTCATTTGTTTTCTTACCAAATGGGCTGATTGCCACCAAAATTCTTGACAGATATTTTGGCTAGAAAGATATGATCATATTGGGAAAAACAATTCAAGTCAATTCAACTATGTTTTTGGACAATCATTTTTAGAGATCTCAAGCTAGTAGACAATTCTGACATTATGTAAATGTTTAGATTATCAGAAAATTGTATAAGATAAGAAACTGCATAGTCTATAAAAATCTCTCCAATGACAATATCCTTATATGCCAAATCTGTATGCATACCTAGTTTATCAAAGGAACATGATTCAACCCTTAACCATGAAGCCCCATAGAACAGCATTCCCCAACCTTTCCAGGTTGGCAGCTCAGCATGGGGAGGGGCAGGTGCAAGCATGCACATACACACAGCTTCATTTGTGTGGAACTCATGCACGTAGAGCTGCAAGTGCTGGTGTCCACCACTGACGTGAGTGGGACTGTGAGTGCTTATACAACTCATTCATGTGAGTGGGGCTGCACACATGCGCTGGCTCACTGTTCATACAGCCTGGTTGTGAATAGACCATGGTAAAGGGTCATAGCCCACAGACTGGGGACCCCTACCATAGAAGATATCATCTAGAAGAAAAACAATCCTTGTTAAGGCAAATTCACTGACATCTTGATTTAGGTTGTTATAGAACCAAAACTGTTTTACAGAAACCAATCTGGAATGTTGATATTTGTTTTGTAAAAACTAAAACACTGAAGTCAGCCTGCCATTAAGAAGAATTTCTTCTCTGTAATTCATATAGACTGAAAGTTTTACTGCATGGTTTGGCATTTACTGACAAGGACTACCATTTGTAGATTGTAAATCAAGTGTATTTAAACCATTAAAAATAACTTAAATGCAATACACCTAACCCTGCACTGAACTGTGGTCATGAATGGGAGACTATTGGGTGCATATACATTGAAAAGACTTCTGTTGTCAATGGAATGAAGATGTCTGAAAACAATATTATAATTCAAATGTTGTCCATAGTGACAGTCTACCTGAGTGCAACACCACTAAAGAGGATAAAATGATTTGGAATCTAGAATTTTAGCTATTCATTTGGAATAAGATCCAAAAGCTTGACCGTACCATAACAATTTACATTCTGTCAAATCTTTTTTCTTGAAACGGATTTCCATGTCATAGCATGTGACACTTTGTTCACAAAAAGTTAAAGGCCCATATCTCTTGGCTATATAAAATGAGATTCACAAATCCTCGGATTCAGGTTACTGATTTACAGTCACTGAAAGGGTGAGGGTATACAGGTAGAAAAAAGATATATGACTATACAAAACAGGTTTATTACAGATAACTGGAATTAATTTTTGTTGAGTTGGGGGAAAAGACAGAGAAAACCTTTCTGTATTAAATTGGAAATAATTCATTGCACATGTTTTATGGTTTAGGAATTGCAGGCACTAGTAGAGACAAAATGGATGAACCAGGGGGAATCCTTAAAGCCATTATCATGTGAATATTTAAAAACATATAAAAGGCAAGGGCACAAAATAACTAAGAATAGTAGTAGTATGTCTTGCTACTAACTCAAAATAATTTTGGGCAAGTGGCAGAAATATAGTTAACTATGTCTCTAATGTATCCAAATTACCATAAAGAAGAAAAGAGATCAAGGGCCTTGGCTCTGTGGAAATTTTAAATGTACTTATTTCTTCCTGTATTGTTTTTAGTTTTGGACTGAATAAGAGGAAATGAGAAGCTATGTTCACCTGGGGGAAAAATAGGACTGGCTGCATTCTGGAGCTTTTTACAAAGGTAGTCCTCACTAAACAACCACAATTTGGATCAGGTGATTAAGCAAAGCATCACATAACTGCTGGATTTAAGGTGTCACTCACGCTGCTAAGCAAATCACCCATGGTCATTAAAGCAAGATATCACACAACTGCGACTTGTGATTTTACTGGTGGCTTTTTCATTAACTCTGCTTAATAGAAGCTGACACAAATAGCAACCATGTGATTGTGGGCTGCTGTGTTCATTGTAAAGAACTCAAATATCAATTACATAACCGTGGGGATGCTGCAATGGTCATAAGTGCAAGGACCAATCATAGTTACTTTTTCAGTGTCTCTATAATTGAACACTTGCTAAACAGGGCAGCTATTAACTGAGGATTACCTGGAATTGAATGTCTAAAATACTCATAACAACCTGAAAATGATGATGAAATTATGATTATGGTGGGAAGTTTTACTTGGATAAAACTATCTATTTTTAAGCATGGCAAGGTGAAATTAGACATAGCTAAAGTTGCAATCCTCTACATGGTTATCTGGGAGAACACTGCAATGAACTCAATATATCTGAATTATAGTTCAAGTTGTATATAACTGCAAACTGATTGCATTTGATCTTCAGCAAGATTAACACTTGCTAGATTGTTCTGAATTCCTCAGCAGAAGTCTCATGTCTAGAAGTAAGTTAATACTGTATAAAATATGGCAGGATTTATCTATCCTTTTCTTGCTTCCTCAATTTATTTATATTTTACCCATATCACTCCAAACAATCAATATAAACATGGGTCGCCTGAGTGCTGGTGAATAAACTTAAAATTCTTGAGGTTAAACTCTTGAAGGATTCACATCGAAAGGAGTAATGGACACACAAAAAATGCAATTGTGACAAGTACCCGCATTGAAGGGATATCTTCATTCATTCATGCCTATTAAAAATTATCCTCCAAAGAAGGTGGTACAAAATGGGAATGGACCAAAAGTAAGAAGAAAAAACTAGGCAATGGAATGAAATTACACCCAGTAGTGCTATAGAATCTCTGAGAATCTTTCCAGTCTTTTTAATCCTCAAATACTTCCAGGAACAAAGGAGGAAAGAGTTCTGTGGGGCATTCCACCTTCATGTGCAGGAAGCGGCTAGCATGGCAGGCTCCGATCATTCGTAGGTCCGTCACTTTCATCAGCAGTTTTGGCCAAAAGTGTGCAATATGGTGCTTTCTGTAATTAATATAGTGTTCAAATGCCAAGAGGAAGCTTTCTTGACACTTTTCTATTCTTTCAATGCTGACAAGACCTGGGCGATCTGTAAATATAAGATTTAGATTTTAAAAAATTAAAAACTTTTATTCACCTTAAAAAGTATATTTTGCAAAGTGCAAATAGAACCAAAATGATTTCCATTACATTTCCCCAGGCTGCATAACTTGAATCTTTGCATGATCCTTGTGAGCTAGTAACTTGGGAAAAGGTACTATTGATGGGAAAAGCAAGTCTGGTTGTTTGGGGTATTACAGATGAATTGTGGCTGGTGTTTGTGTGTGTGTGTGTGTGTGTGTGTGTGTGTGTGTGTAATGCACACAATCAGGTGATCAAAGCCTTCCTTTTAAAATTTGCATTATATGCTTAAAAATGTCTGAGGTTTGAGTTACCTGGTTGTGGCAGCTATTTTCACAAAATTAAATTGTATCCCTGTGGATAGTTGATTTTTGGACATTGTTAAAGTGGACATAAGTTGGGACCTGTTGCATTCACTGGAAAACTCAATGATCTATCAACTTGGATGATATAATGCAACAGTTCACTCTGTTGAATCTGAAATTGCAAACTCTGTTGCAATATTTCAATTGCATAAAATCAATTTGTCAGCTATATTGTATCCAGAATGCTTTTTCATGACTTTTGGATTATACTGTCCCACACACTCATGCTCAATACTGCTGAAATTTGGTAGCAAATATAAATGCCAAAATTTATCCTAATTTTTAAACAAAAAATAAAAGTAAAAGCTAGTGCAGTAAGCTTCCACTAGAGGGAGACAGTCTATCAGAGACAGAGAAGTAAACAGGCTGAAAGTTGTTTCTTTAAAGAATTGATTAGATCATTACTTCCAATTTTTCGAGAGCTGCCCACTCTCAGAACATTCCTTTTTCCTTATGTATTCTTTCTTTTGTTTAGTATTCATTGCAAAAAAACAACAACTGGCTATAACAGTTGGATGACAACCAAATAAAGTTTCTTGCAAGACTAGTTCTTTTCTTCTTTACTCAATGGTAAGTACATTTTTGGAACAGCAATTTTGCTAAAGGAGTTAACTTTTGTTCCTAGCCTCTCAAGTCATGAGCAGGATTTCATTTTTCCCATTAAAGTTGATCTGTGAGCTACATCTATTTCTTGACTCTTCTAATTTTATTCTCAGAGCTCAGAGCAATGTGAATTGTTCATCTCAGAGGTCTATGAATAAAAGGATAAAAATGAGGCTGAGACATAGCAACTGACTCCAGATCAAATGAAAGTTTCAGGGTTGAGAAGATTCTGATGATCTAGCCACAAAACCACACTGATCTCTGGACTAACAACAGATATTAAGACCTAAATAACATGTAAGGTCCTTGAAAGTCCACTAATAAAAACCTATACAAAATTAAAAGGGAAGGGGGAGCAAAAGCAAATGTTTTATTTTTAATTCCTTGGTGATTACATTATAAAATTCACAACATCATTTTGAAATAAATTCTTAACAACTATTTGATCTGCTATAGATAAGACAGCAACCATGTTAAGCTTTGCCTAGGATTCTTTTATGTGCTAGACCATATGGCAAAAAATTACACCATAATGTTTGTCCATATTCATATATAATCACAAGCAGACAAGAACTTGGGCTCTGCTAAGGAGCAAGCATAGGATACACAAAACATAGCAAAGTGGTGGATATCCTTACCACAAGTAATCTCACATATCTTCACATACAACTACCGGTAATCCTATGTGCTTAATGTCACTAAAGATCTTAAGCATCTCAAAATACATTCAGCAAAAGACAAAAAACAATAAATCTAAAACAAAGCTTGCTCATAGTAAGAATGGTATAGACTGTCAATTATATCTATATTATTATAAAAGCACGTATAATATATTTTTTAAAAAAAGTTGTGGATTTAACAAATTGGTTTTTTTATGTTCTAAAGAAGTGCAGGTGTGGAATGATTGTCTCTCTTCTTGCCTCATTACCAATTGAGGGGAAATCAAATAAACCAGAGCTCACAGAGCTCACAGCTCATATGTGGAAAAATTGGCCCTTTCTTTTTTAGTGGAATACTTGAAATAGCGAAGGTTTTTATGGAGACATCTATCTCAAAAGGAGGAAAAACTGCTGAATTATAGTTCCTGAATGCCACGAAATCAGCACTGTATAATACATGATTTTTTTTGACACTGTCATCTAATTTTTATTATGTATGTTTGAAAGGGTGTGAATCTTTCTAGAAGATTACAGATCCTTAACAGGTAAGGATATTGATTTATAATATTTAAAAAATGTTCACCCTCACCTGAAGACATCAGCAGTACAGCCTGAAGAAGAGCAACTTCTGTGTCATCAAGGTTGAATGATGATAGCGACATACCCAAGTCAAAAATGGCATCTGATACTACACCAAGACCCCCATTTTTCAACTGGCCTCTTGTTACTGCCATTTCTCCATTTAGTGTTAATGTCTCACTTTCTGGGTCGTAACGCACTGCTGCTCTGAGGGACATGATCTCCATGCAACAACCTTTCAGAAGTATAATTTGATCTTCACATGGCAGCTGCAAATAATTGCAAGTGTTATAAATTTTCCCACGGGAAAAATAATTTTCTGTATAATAAAAACAAACATAAAAACAAATCTTCCCCATTATGGGGTACTTCTAGGTAAGTCTTTTACTAGAGACTATCCCTGCCATATTCACAGAACATTAGGACCCTTTAAATAATTGTTAATAATATTTTCTTTTTTCACCTTAGTTTCCATAGAAAATTCTCAAAAAGGAGAAACAGCTATACAATATATTTTCCCTGAAACCATCCACTTAAAAGCCCTGTTAATTTTTAATTTCAGACTTTTAAAATAGTTAAAATCTGTTTAGAGCAATATCAGTTGTATACACAGTATACCTAGACTTTCTCCTGTATTGCTGACCAAAAACCAATCTGCATGTTATTTCTAAGTTTGATCTTTTTAGGATTCATGATGGTGGTGATTAGAGAGTGAATAAAGTTGGCAACTTCATATTCAAAACATTTTTTCAGTGAGTATTATTATTAAACCAGTTTATAAACCGCTAATTCTATAGAAATAGAAATCAACAAAATATTCAGAAAAGAATACCATCCTGCTTTTGTGTGTCATATGGTTATTAATTATGCTAATAAAAGTCTCATTTCATGTGAAATGAGAAGACATTTATTTTTTAACTATGAATGCTTTCTTCCTCTGTCTGTAGGGTGAGAAAGGGGAGATTTTTCTTACAGATGTGGTGATTACATTTAGCATTGCCAAAACCATTCTGAGAAGCAACAAAAGTTTGCCTTCATAAATTGAAAGCCATACCTTAATGACAGAAGAATTGTTGGCAAGTAGGTGGGCTTAGAAAAATGACAAAATAAGTAAAATAAAAAAGAATTTTAAACAAGAGTTCATATGGAAAAACAAATATTATATTTCCCTCATTGCTTCCTTCTCTTCTTCTTTCTCCTCTTCCTCCTCCTTTTCTTTTCTTCATTTGTCAGGCTTGAGGAGTGCAGTGATTGGTTTACTGTTAGCTTAATTGAGCTATACATTGATTTTCCTGAACAGCAAGCAAAATAATCTATACTGGAAAGGGAGTCATTGTGAAAGATACAACAACCACATTCATTTTCAAAGAAAGTAATGCTTTTTTATATATAGGAGAGGCAAAATAGAAATAAAGAAAAAAAGGAAAATAGAGGGATAAATTATCAATATTTATTTTGAGATCATTTTAAAATTAAAACAATTTCTTCAATATTATTGCTATCAGCCTTGTACCATATGCTTCTGCAAAGGAGGAGAATTTTACAAAACAGGTGAAAAACTACAGAATAGGTAAAATGGTTATAAAATTATTGAATACTTCCCTGGATTGTAAGAGAGCCAGTTTGTTGCAAATTGTTATATTTCTTTTTATTGTTCTGTAATGAACAATAAAAACGGTTACTTAAAACTGAAATGGCAGTATTTTATACTGTATGTATCTGAGATATATTTCAGTGCTTTTGTCACAAAAGTATGTATTCTGGGCAGTATTTTATATGGACAAAATGTACTTCACTGCTTTTTACTGCAAACTTACATACAAATCATGCATTTTCTCCTATAAGCTAAACAGCACTGAAGTACATTTTGAAACAATAAGAGGGGAGATAGGAAGAGGAAGGAAGGAAGGAAGGAAGGAAGGAAGGAAGGAAGGAAGGAAGGAAGGAAGGAAGGAAGGAAGGGGGAAAAGAAGGAAAGAAAGAAAGTGAGGTTCAGAAGCATCTTGAGATGGGTATATCTAGTGTAAGAAACAATAGCTAAAGTTGTTATGTTGAAACTGTAATTCTCACTGCTCTCTAACAATAAGAATGTTATGTTTCCTCTTGCTCTTGTTTGCGTATTGGAATGAATGTTTCTTGTTGGCTATCTTATATCCAGCAAACTGCTGCAATTCCGAGTGAGATCATCTTGGAGAATAAAAGTTGAATTTCAGTTGGATTCAGTGACATAGGGCTCCTAATGGGGAGAATAACATGAACAGCATCTGTGTTGTTTCTTTGCAATCTAGTACTAGATGCTGTGCTTTCAAATGAATGCTTTAAAAATATATCTGTACCATTATAATTCCAGTCATCTTTAATCACAGAGCTTTGTACATTTCCTTGTTGAAATGCTCTAGATACTGTTTTAATTTTTAAGAAACATATCCAAATAATATTGCTACCCAATATGAAGCAAATCTGTTAAATAATAGATCTAATAATGCAGTATCATATAAAGTGATATTGTAAAATATAATGAATACATATCGTCCATATTGCTAAAATTATGACTCTCAGTATCCAGATATCTTGAAGACTATGCTAGTGGCAGTTTATCTGGAGGGTCATAATTTTCCTCCCCACTCCCTGTTTAACAATATTATCTGAAGACTAGATATTTCAAGCATGACATTTAGATTAACATTTTTGTTTTGTTTCATATCAACCCCAATTGCAAAGATCCTCAGTCATGGAGTCTATGAAAGTTTAACATGCTTAGATTAGGATTAGTCCAAGGTGGGTAAAATGAGGACCCAAAATTGTTGGGGGCAATATGCTGATTCTGTAAACTGCTTAGAGAGAGCTGTAAAGCATTATAAAATGGTATATAAGTCAGAAAATGCTTCTGTTATATTATATCAGAAAATGCTTCTGTTCATGTTGAATGAAAAGCTGTTTTATTTCATACATATCCCACTAACAGGCAAATTATATGATATGCTAAATACGTACTATCAATTCCCCCCCTTTTTGAAAAGTTGAAGAATACATGTAGGCTGTCCAGAATTGTTTTGGTTACCGAGATGGGCAACAAGTAAATTGAATAAATAAGCAAACAAAGTGGACATATCTGAACTGACATTACCACAGAATGAAAAACTTAAGCTTAGGTGCCATGAAAACTATCCAAAATTGTATGTGCAGAAATGGGCAAATAGTCTCAATTTGGATTGAACACACTTTACTTATAATAATATGAAAAGAGAAGTCCAACAGCACACTCTATGTTCAATGTATTCCATATTAAGTTGTTCATTTATGGCCCTGTCCTCATCCCTTTCGCCTTCTCCATGGAAAACAGCATCAGTCTGAGTGTAGTCCTTTTCTCCATCTCTATGCTCAAAAAGAATGGTCAAGGCGAGAAAATAGTGCAAAGGAGTACATGATCAAGTTCTTATAGCAGCAACAATATTCTGGACAATGGCCTACTGCCATTGTTCACCAAGAGATTTTCTACTTTGGAATATAATGGGGTTGGAGATCTTAATATGAAGCCACAGTCAGCAAATTAGCCATACTAAGCTATTAAAAGGGAAGTAACAAATTGTTAAGCATGATAAAAATACATAATTTATCCATAAAATGTCCCCTCTTCCAGGGCAGCTCTGATGTACACAAAAAATAAGCTGAAAAAGAAATACTTTCTTAAGTATGCTTTATAGCTTGTTACAAAAATGACTATAGATTGTTCAATTATATAGCACCTACATTTGAATGATGCTTTCTTCAATATTAAATTTTACTTTGATTTGAATCATTATCATTCACTTAGATAAGGAAGAGTTGTACATGTATTTTTGTATTTTTATAGCTTCCTTTTAATTCTAAGGAGATATATGTAGTGGCACAGGGATTTCAGATCCTATCTTGATAAACAGTAAGTGAAGATTCTGAAAT